GGAATTTGAGCTTGCTTCATTGCATGAAATAGACAAGATACAAAACATGTCAGGCTGATGAATCCACTTGGGAAGTTGCTCTCAATATCATTTCTTTTTCGTAATGGTTTCTCGTCCCCCTGTGTGTGATCAGGGATGAACATAGAAACGAAAATAAATTGTTAATAAAAAATAAAATAAATAAAATTTTTAAAAAAGGATCGCATTCAGCCATTGTCTGACGCTTGAGCCACAAATCAAACTCTGCAGCTTTTTACCTGGTGGTCCATAGACCTTGTCTCCCAATGGCTCAGCTGCACCGGCCTCGTGGAATTCTCTTATTTCACTCATTTTTTATTGCCACGTGGACTCTTGAACTGGTGTTCTTTCATGTTCAGGGTAAAGAACAAAGACATAGAAAGGGAAATCTAGTTAATTAAAGAATAAAGATCCAACAGCCCATGCAATTGGGCTTCCATAAACAACCCAAATTGGAAAACGCTACTATAGCTTCTAAGCTTAATTACTAATTCACCCATCTACTTCCCCCCTTCTCTCAAATCGATTTTTTTTTTCATTCTAATTCGGTACTCAACTTTCATTATGTGAAATGTTTTTCTATACGCCGTTAATTCAAAAGTCACGTGATGTTCTCACCAATGTCACATGATAATTGTTGACATCATCAATGAGAAAAAAAAATTAAGAATTCTTTTAATAAATCTGGAGTGAATATAAGATAATATATATTTAAAAGAGATTAAACTATTTGACAACAATCGTTTATACCCCTACTACGCGGTGCTCAAACCTGACACCTTAAAGGATAACAACAAATCTTTTATCATTGAGATTATTTGGTTTGTGCAATAAAAAAAATTAAAGTTAATAAAATACTCGTAACATAATAGAATTTTACAATATTATAAAATATAAAAAATACTAAAAATTGAAAAAATATTTAGAAATAAAAAATAGTAAAGCTTTATAAATATATTATAATTTTGAATAATAAATTTTAAGAAAACCATTTATAAAAGTCAAAATAAGTCAATGAACAATCAAATATTGGTCAAATTAAAAATTACATATTTTATTTTTTATTAACTTTAAAAGCATTATGTCATGATAACATCATCATTGACACATTATAATCTTAAAATATCATATCTTAAAAATATTATTGTAACAAAAAAAAATAAAACAGTTGACATAATAGAAGTTAGATACAAACTTGGAAAAATGTAAATATACCACTTGAAAAAAGTGTCAAATTAGCGGAAGTTCTACAGTGCGGCACTCTTAATATACAATTTAAAAAAAGTGTTATTGATTTTATTATTATTTAAATAAAAAACCGATAAAAATTATCTAAAATATTATTATTTCTACCTAAAATATTAATACTTTTTAATATTTTCGGTAAAGTGTCTAACAATAATAAAATCGATAGAAAAAATAATAAAATCGATAAAAATAATAATATTTTCGATAACTTTTCACCGATTTTATTATTTAAATAATAATAAAACTAATAATACTTTTTTTAACTTATATTAAGGCTGCCGCATATTATTCCCGAGAAATTAAACTTTTTTTTTTTTTTGGAAATCAGAAAACTGTCCAGAAAGTAATACAGAAGCATTGAAGTGGTAACCAATAACCATGAACTTACGCAGTAAATTGTACAGCTTTAGATTGACATTTTATTTTAGTAATGGCCCCTCAAATCTCTTTACATTCATTTCACCGTTGCTTCTGCCGGTGATAGCATGAACCATTTTGCTGCTAACTTACTTGGGAATGATCATAGGTAGTTCGAGGACTGACCTTTAAAAATGTTAAATTCTTTTATATTTTTATAACTTTTTTTATTGATTATCTTATTTTACATTCTTAAAATTTTATAATTTTGTACTCTTACAAGTTTAATATAATTTTCTTAAAATTTTAATATAACTTTTTGAATGACGGTTAAACAAAAATTTTAGGGTAAAGTATAGTAATGGTCATTGAACTTTTTTAAAGTTTTTATTTAGGTCTCTCAACTTTTAGAACTTACAATACAGTCCTCTAATATTTAGCCCGTTTGCAATATGACCCCCAACATTTAGTCTGTTTGCAATATGGTCCCCGACCGTTTGACGTCGTTACACTATCGTTAGTACATTTGCAATATGGTCACTGAACTTTTCAGGCGCTTACATTTAGGTCCCCCAACTTTTAAAACTTGCTACACAATCTTATATTTCATTCTAAACCCCAAATTCCTTTTCGATCTCGAATTTCCTTTTTTGCTTTTCTCTTCTCATTTCCAACGTAACTTTTCAGTCAAGGATGCATGGGAAATTCTAATCTAACTTTGAATTATGTGGAGATGTTGACTTGAATAAGAGTCCATTGAGAGAAGATCCGACCAAGGGACTATCGGGACCATCAACGATTCAAGGTGTAATGTTAGATACAGGTCATCTCAAGTAAAGTATAGATGTTCGATGAAATGCTTGTGAGAAAATAATGGGATTAGAAATGCAGAGTTGACAAATACTACTTAGATGATCTAAGTATCATTATTGAAAATCACCCACAAAACTAAAATTATTTTGTATAAATGGCATATAATAATTTTTTTGTTTAATCATTGTGCTTAAAGATTTTCCAACAGATGATCAAATATAATGAAATCTCTAACAACACATTCACCTCTCAGTCTCTTTCGTAACTTGAAAGGCATCATGACAGGTCAAGTAGATGCTCCAAATATACTACCCTGTCATGATGTCTTTCGAGTTACGTGCATGCAGAATTGTCTTCTAAAGCTATAATTCAATAAAATTCAACTATAAAATTTCCAAAAAAAATTAAAAAAAAATTTAATTCATTCACAATATATCAGTCCCATAATCAACATGAACTTATTAAAAAGAATACGAGCTCACAGGACGCCGAAAACCACAGGTAGGATCAATACAATTCCCAGTAAACTAGTATCATCAGTCTATTGGATTGAGCCTGGCGATTTCACTATGTCGATACTCACAACCAATTCCCTGATTTAAAGAAAAACCAAACAATAAGATAAAAAAACATTTAGCCTAGAACGCTATTTCGCTTCTATTCCGATGGACTGAATATCTTTCATAAGGAGTACTAAAAGTTTTGATTAAAAAAAAGAAAGAAAAATAGATGGTTTTGGTTCAAAACTAACACTGAATATCTATTTCATTGACATGCAGTTCCATAAATATAAAAATTTCAACAAAAAAAACACAATGCAAGCTGAAAATGAGAAAGTGCGAAAGATGATAATCTTACTTCCGGATGGCCAAAAGAGAAAATAAATACCTTCTTGCAAGTGAGGGGAGAGACTAAGAAATAAACGCAATCGATGTTGCGTTCCAACAATTCTTCCTCCATTTTTTCTTTGTAAATAAAAAGTTGAAAGACATAGCACTGGTTGGATTTACAATTTTACATGGCGAAAAATTGAAGAACAAAAACCAAACGAGAGGTGAATGCGCTGTTTGGGATTTTATTATATTTGATCATCTGTTGGAAAATCTTTAAGCACAAGGATTAAACGAAGAAATTATTATGTCATTTATACAAAATAATTTCAGCTTTGTTGGTGACTTTCAACAATGATACTTAGTTCATCTTAGTAGTATTTGTCAACTCTGCATTTCTAACCCTATTTTTTTCTCACAAGCATTTCATCGAACATCTATACTTCACCTGAGATGACTTGTATCTAACATTACACCTTAAATCGTTGATGGTTTCGATAGTCCCTTGGTTGGATCTTCTCTTAATGGACCCTTATTAAAGTCAATGCCTCCACATAATTCAAAGTTAGATTAGAATTTCTCATGCATCCCCGACTAAAAAGTTACGCTAGAAATGAGAAGAAAGAAGCGAAAAAGGAAATTCGAGATTGAAAAGGAATTTGGGATTTAGAATGAAATTTAAGACTGTGTTGCAAGTTTTAAAAGTTAGGGGACCTAAATGCAAGCACCTGAAAAGTTTAGTGATCATATTACAAACGTACTAACGACAGTGTAATGGTGTCAAACGGTCAGGGACCATATTGCAAACAAACTAAATGTTAGGAGACCATATTACAAACAGACTAAATATTAGGAAACAGTATTGTAAGTTTTAAAAGTTGGAGAACTAAATGAAAGCTTTAGAAAAGTTCAGTAACCATTACTATACTTTATCCAAAAGTTTAATATAACCTTTTGAATTCACGGTGAAACAAAAATTCATGCGTCCCTGTCAAGGAATAATGTGTTTTCCCTCACTTTTACAGTGGACAGTAAAATTGTGTTCGATATTTTTTTTTGAGAAAATGGGCCTCACATTTGGATCCAACATACTGACTGTTCATTTATGGAACTATTACGTGGTACAATTAAAGTTTAAAAATTCGTGGTAAAAATATTATTTTTTAAGGATTTAAATTTAAATAATTGTATCTATATATTACCAATAATTAAGAAAAAATTGAATAAATATTATTTATAAGAACATTAAATTATTAAAAAAAAATTCCTCCGTCTTCGATATAGAGTAGAGAAATGAATAAAATTGAAAAATCTCCTGATTGCCGTTTTGTTTAGAGGAATATGGCTGTGTGTGCAATGGTGACAAAAACTATGCTTGCACTGTGATGTACCTTCACATCACAGCACCTAATTTAAGCGCTGCCTGTCTATAATATGTTATTCCTCACCCTTAATAAAAGTGGTTCAAATTCAATCATTTAATCTGTATAATGGAGTAGAGATATGAACAAAGTGCTTCATCACCTACATCATTAATCATTAAAATACTCTCATTATCTTCGATCATCGCTTAACTAAATTCATGCTTAAATGTAATTTCTCGTGTTTTTTTTAAAGCTTTTATTGAACGAAAACTTTACAAACTCAAAAACTCTCTTTATCTACGAACACTTGTTAAAGAAAAGAGAAAAAAATTGTTTACCTTCCCAAAGCGTTAATCATCATGACGTCAGCACGAAACAAAACTTAGCATGACCCTATGGCCCACCACTAACAAAATATTTTCCAACACGGCTTAGATCAACGGCTCAGATCTTCTACCAGATGCGAAGTGCTTCATTCCACCTAGACCGACCGGCTCAATTACCGGTTGCTTCTCCACAATTTCAGGCTCCATTTGTATTGCATCACCATCATCCGGCGGCAAACGAGACCTAATGTCGCTGTTCCTCGGCGGCGAAGGCTCCACTTCGAATGTGTCCGGTTCACGTGCTCTGCCGTTTGACCCGAAAATAGCACACAAACTTGGAAACCAACCGCTTCTTTTTCTTCTTCTTTTCTCTTTAACTGCTTCGACGTTGTCCGGATTTTGGCACTTCTTTTTGAGTGAGCGATTCCGGTCTCGCCTCGATCTCACTCTTCCCATACAAGAAACCTTAGGCGAAGACGGTTCAACAACTGGCGGATCCGATTTAACAGAACCTGGACGTTTAGGAAACAATACAGTCTTTCCAGGCTTAGCATGCTTCCTGTTCTTCGCTTCAATAAAGCAAGATTTCTGAGGTTTCGGTAATCCGAAGATAAAGGCTTTAGATTTTCTAACGGGAAATCGTTGAGAATTGGAGTCGGAGTTCAAATTAGGATTAAGATTGGTAGAGTTGGAAGCAGAGTTCCCTTTATGTGAGTCTCTCCGTTCGTAAAAAGCGTTGCGATCGAACCAGTCGAACTCGGCGTCTTTGGACACCCAAAAAGATTCAGGCGGGAAATCCGGCGGGATTGGCTCTTCGACAGATTCCTCTTGCGTGTGGAGCTTCTCGTCGGGGTCGCCTTCGTTGGTTGCTAAGGTCTCGCAGACGATTTTGTTATCGCAAGAACCGCCGGCACAGGCGGAAACAAGGGTTTCTAAGTTTCCCTGTGGCATTGTACGAATCAATAAAAAGATAGAAAACGCGATAAAGAGAAAGATAAAGTTCGAGAGAGGAAGGTAGATTTGAGAAGATTATATAAAAGAAGAATTGTTTTTTAATTGTGGAAATTTGAGTTTGTGGAGGGAGGCGTTGTTGACTGCTTTTTACTTGCCTCGCTTCTTTCCTTTGTTAATCTCAATTACTCCTTTAATTAGGTTTCATTTGACGGAATTTTCCGGTTGGATTTAAGGAAATACTTAATATGTTCCAAGCATATTATTTCTTTTAATAATTAATGCATATATATTCGTAATTGCCTCAACTTATATATATTTAATAAGATTTATTCTTCATTAAATATTTTTTAAGCACCTACTTAAAGCCCTGTAATTGTGATTTTATTAATGTTTCCAATAAATTATTTTTTCTCGGTTTAATGCCTATTTGATCCCATTGGTCGTCCTAACGTTTGGTTCGTCAAAAATAATTTTTTTTCGAAATTATATTATCACATGTAGTTTGTAGAAAAAAATCATTTATCATATAATAACTATTATCAATAATAGTATTTTTTTTGTTAAAATAGTGAAAATATCATTATCTTTAAAATTTTAGGTAATGGATAATTTTCATCACTTTGGACATAAACACCCCTAACATAATGAACTCTTTTTATATGTATTTTTCTCGATTATTATTCTCCGTGTTTTACTCAAAATTATAAATTTAATAATTATAATATACAAAGAGTTTAATTCAATAAAATATCTATAAATTTGAGTAGTTAAAATTATTTTATATTTCTATATTTATATATTAAAAAATTTATAATTTTATTAGGTGGAAATATTATTATTGTAAAAAATATATAATTATTTAAAATAATATTTAATTTTGAGTTATTAAAAGGTGGATCTTATATATTAAAAAATAATATATTTGTCCACTCAAGAGTTGAGACCACAATATTATTTTTTGTATTATATTTTATTTTATATAAATAAATAAGATACATATGAAAATTATTTAAAAATAGAAGTTTGATATATTAATTATACTAATTATATGTTAAATGTATTTTTCTTTAAACTTGGATAGTGTAACACGTAAAATAATTTTATAATTTTTTATTCAAATATTTATAATTTAATGTTAAAGTTTAACTTGTTAAAAACATACATCACAAGGATAGTTTGGTAAAACACATCCAAGTTATCTTATATTTGTGCAACTAAATATTGTAATCTTATATTCCTAATAAACAACTCAAACTAGATAATACAACATTCTTATGATAAAGTTACATTGCAGTAATCTTATTCTCAAATATAATCTTACATTCCTTAAACCAAATACATCCTTAGGGGTGTTTAGTTCAAGAAAAGTAAGATTAAATTTGAGAATAGAATTATCTGAATATAATATTACTCTTGAATTTTGTAATGTTTTATTTGATTTATTTAACAATAATATAAGATGATAAAATTAGGTTGAAAATATATAAGAGTATTTAAATGCATATTTTATCAAATTATCTTTGTGATATATGTTATTTTTAATATATTAAATTTTAATATTAAATTATAATAATTAAAATAATTTTTTGTAAAAGTATTTTAATCGCTATAATATCTAACTTTTAAGAAAAAATACATTTAACATATAGTAATTAATGTCCATATGATTTTCTCCGAAAACTCTTAAAGTCATTTATCTCTTTTTTATTATTGATTAATAGAAGACGACACCAACCTTTGAGATGATAGTCGTTGTCGATTTTTTTAACTTATCCTTTAATTTCTTATATCAAATATTTACGTTTCATTTGTTTTTAAGTTTTCAAAAAGTTTGTTTTTATGACATGGTTTTCTCTATCTCCATGACACACTTGTTTGGCCGTTAGTTTAATTTATTTTTTTCTCAGAGTTAGATTTGAGTTTGCTATGATTGATTAAAATGACGTTTATTTGTTATCATGTTGATCTTTTTTTACTTTGAACCATGGGCGGAACCAAGGGGAGGGTAAGGGGACCCTTGGCCATTGCCAATTATATTTTTAATTATTAACTAATGTAGAAAAAAATATATTTTTTTAAAATAAATAAAGAAAAATTTATCATGCCCTCCTCAATTAAAAAATTTGTATTTATAGGAAATAGAAAATTATTTTAGCCCATGCTATAATAAATTTCTAGTTCCGTCCCTGTTTTGGACCCTCAGGTTGAATTTGGATACATGATTTGTGTTAATGAATAGCTTTTCACTTCGTTCGATTCTAATTTGTGAGTTTTTTGGTGGTATTTTAGTAGTTTTGCTCCTTTTGTGGTTTATTTACCGATGCGGTCAGATCTGTTCGTATATATATATATATATATATATATATATATATTTTGTTTGAGTTTTTTTGTTAGGTTTTTTTAACTTTTTTCTTGTATGGTCCGATCTTAAGTGACTAGTTTTTGTGTTAATGATTATAAGAAAATATTTAGGTTATATGATTAGTTTACGTTTACGGTCGGAAACATTCATTGTAATTTTAGATATTTCATCATTTTAATAAAATTAACGACTTCTATAAAAATATATAATTAATATATTAAATTTATATCTTTAAATAATTTTTACAAATTTCATATTTATTTTTATAAATATAATATATTACGAAGAAACGGAAGATAAAAGCATGCTAAAACTATACTCTCCGTAAAAAATCATTAGGTCAATATCCAATAAATTTTATTTAGATAAATAAATAAAAAATATACATCACCATGGTAATTTCGTTGACGAAATTAATTATTTGGATTGTATAATTGTTAAAGTGTCAGTAGAATGTCACGTAAATCATTTGATTTTTAAGAATATATACAAAACAAATGATATTTATGAGCAGATAATAACAGAGACTATAGGAACTGAAAATTGTACAATTCAAAAGTTATTGAATCGTCCAACGTCTTCTAAAAATGACCAAATAATTTCGACACTTTCCAACATATATTATAACAAACACCTTAATTAAAAAAAAAACACCATACTCCTTAAGTAAAATCCTTTTCCACTGCATTGTCTAGAGAATTTTGCCATCACCAGCTATACTATTTTTAAGATTTGCAATTAAAATAAGTAAACATCACAACTCACAAAGCATCCATCTATATGAAATTTTAATTATTTTAATATGATCACCATCCAACTATTATTATATCATATATATAGGGTTTTGTTAAGGTGTTTTTTATTACTATAATTTACATCAATATATTCATTTAATGTATAAAAATAAAATTAATTGCTGCTATTATTATAATTATTGCATACTTTTTGACAGTTTATTCCTTTTTTATTTAAATATGATTTAATTCATTCAATTATTACAGACTTTGTTGGTTATTCTTAAAGGAACAAACCAAAACAAAAATGAAGTACACATGATTGAAGCAGTCATTTTAAGATCCCACACATCGGGACAGTGATATTTTTGGGTTATAACAGAGTTTATGCATCCGTAAAAAAGGTGATGATTGGGTAGGTAATTAGATTGTTGGGGTAGGAGGAAAGTTGGGAGCTTATTAGGTTCAGACAATGCCCTCTCAACAAATACTAATGAAAATGGATGACAATGCCAACTACTCACCATTATGTGTTGAATCATATTATATTATATAATAATATGCCAACGGCAATTCCTATGCAAATCATCGAACATGACACCATTCCAAGGCTTACTCTTGTTCTTATGTATAATCTCACATGCCTCCACCGATTCGTTTATATAACTCTCTGTCTCAAAAACAAATATCAGTGATTTAAATTGGTTATTGAGGCAATAGTAAAAAAAATATTATTTTTTTGAAGAATTAAAATTTAAATAATTATATATATATAATTAATAGATTATTTTTTTGAAATATGATCTATTTAGAGAATGTTAAATATTTAATTAATTTAGAGATATAAATTTGTATGAATATAAATGGATAAGCAGTTAATTTGTTTCCAAAAAAGAGAAAAAGGCTTGCTTTATTTGGTAACATCTAATTCAATCCTATGGGCTCCGCCACAGAAACCACGGAAGCCGCCTGGCAAAGCACTTATCGCACCGTCACTTAGCAGCCCTCCTTAAACCTTCTAGATAATCAAACCTTCCACTTCTTCCATGCCTTCTACTCTTTTTTTTAATGAATTTAGGGTTAAGCAGTCAAAGTAGTTCACCCCTTAATTATATATTTAAATATTTTTTAAAGTATTTAGGGTTCGTTTGGTTCACGGAATGTAAGATTACTAGTGGGAATAAAAGATTATCAGGGAATAGGATTACTGAGAATGTTGTATTTTGTGTTTGGTTGGTTTAGCAGGAATGTAAGATTACTGTATTTGGTTAAAGGAATAAAAGATTATTAGAATGTATATTTGACCAAATTGTTCTTATTATATATTTGTATAATATTACAAGTTGGAAAATATTTATATATTTTCTTTAAAAAATTTAAATTCATAAATTTATATAATTTTTTTTACAAAATTAAAAATATAAAAAAGATTTAATGAAAGGGTAAAATTTTATTTTAACCCATGAACTTCATATAAAATTTTAATTATAGACTTATTTTGTAAATCTAAAATAGTTTAAGGATAAATTTGTAATTTAACCTTCGTAAAAATTTTATTATTCAATCACAGAAGAAGGATATTTTTGAAAAAAAAAATTAAGGGTATTTTAGTTTAAAACGCCGGTAATGTTACAATACCTAAGGGAAGGGAGATAATGATATTCCCAATAATATACCCCAAAAAATCCACATTGATAATAAAACATTACCGGGAATGACATTCCCGGCCAAATCAAATGGGGGAATGTAGATTCCATTCTCGGGGGAATCCCACATTCTTCCATCCAAACGACCCCTTAGGGTTTTGACCATTTATGTCCGTAAGATATGTATTCGTTGTCAATAATTATAAAAGAGTATGAATAAATATTACCTTTTAACCATCTCATATTAAAAGAGTATGAATAAATATTACCTTTTAACCCTCTCATATTATTTAAGAAGGAACCCATCTAGCGACTTCAATAATTAAAGAAAATGCTATTCTTCTTAAAATTATT